AAATTTTAAAAATATTCATCACACTCATACTCATTTATAAAGATATTTTTTAGAGAACCATTTACTGAAAGGTTCTTTAGGGAACCAAAAATAGTTCTTCTATGGCATCACACAAAAAACAAAAAAAAACAATACTTTATTACCTTTAGTACCTTTATTTTTGAAAGCAACCCAGTCATGAGGGACAAAAGAGTCTTCATTAAGGGTGCTGACCTAACAACAATTTGATTATGATTAGGAAATGAAATTAGAAAATGATTCAGTGATTTTATTGGATTGTTCTGGTATGACTGGAATTATTTCTTATACGTGACTGGGGAAATAAACAGAAAAATTCATGGCACTTTTCTTTTTACATTTGAAAATAATCTAAGAACTGTATTTTGGCTGAAACGAGTGCATACTTTACTGAATATTATATTATTACACTTATATTCCACACCTGTACATCACAACTTAAGGGATTGGCAATATGACAATATTTATCATTGTTGTGAAAAAGTATGTCACATAACATCACAACAGAGTTTTCTAGGCTTATCTTGGGTATTATGAGTACTTAAAAAACATTGAACGTCTACATGTTTCATTATAAAGTGGGCACAATTAGTCCTGTTTAACTTCAGTGCAATGTATAAAAATCACTGTACGTATAATTTTGGATGGTATTTTTATTTAAGAAAATATCTTGAAGTATAATTATGTTAAATTTTTTCCATACGACCCCCACCCGAACTATAACCCCACCAAAAACCCTTCAAGGACACTCATTTTTCAACAAACCGAGTGACACACGCCCACATACTGCACGCATTTAAAGATTAAAAGAAAAATTGTCAGGTGCTGTCCTCAGCTGACATGAGCGAATTGAGATGTGGTTAGTTTTCATTGCTGCAAAGATGGGTAAAAACGGGCCTGTTCACGAGCAGGCTTTGTAGTAGAATGTAGAGAAATCTGTGACCAAACAAGGGCAATGTCAACAGGGCTTCACTCATATCACTGCACCTTACATTTATGACAACAGAACAAAGTCCATCACATCGTATGTTGATTATATAACAGATCAGTCTCAGTCTTTTAACTCTGAACCACAGCGCACCCTCATAAACTCACACATCGACTTGCACAAACACATTAGCTCCGCAGTTTTGACAACTCCATTAAAATACATACAGTACTATGCAAAAGTCAGAGACCACCTTCTTGTTTATTTAATATTTTTTAAATTAAGTAAAAAAATATTTACTTTTATTTGTTAGGAAAACGTATATTTAAAGAAATGAAAGACTTTAAATTATGCGAAAGCCTCCGACAGTTAAGTATCATATCAAATCTATCAGTCCGCTCTTTAATTTTCACATCTTACTGCTTCTATATACTTCTAGCCTTCCAGATCTCATTCTAATATGCATCTAAAATGACCAAACAAGATATTTCTGATGAGCATTACATATGATATTCTGCTTGCATAAGTAAGATGAAAAAACTAGAAAAAAATCTATAGAGAAAATGGGACTCCTAACAACCACCTTCAAAAGCTGGTAGACACCAGAACTGTCCCCATCAGATAAACAGCACTTAAAGCTCTCATCTTTGAGAGAGAGGAGAAAATCAAGCTGCTTCAGATCTGAAAACATCCACAGGTGTTTCTGTCCATCCTTCCACTGTGAGAAGACAACTCAGCGCTATGCGTTTGAAAGGATGTGTAGCTGTCAAGAAGCCTCACAGAGAAAAGGAGACAGACACAATAGAAGAATGTGTGCACTAGAACGCTGAAACTGGACATTACTGAAAATGTATAATTGGAATTATTTATTGGAATATACGTAAAGAGCACTATACGAATAATATTAAACATGCAACTACATGCATACTGTGTATTGCAAAAATGTCTGGAAGTATCATGATATAATATTTTTGCCCAATATATCGCCCATCCCTACAAGAAGAACAGTTTTTCTTAAAAAAACGTCATAATAAAGCCAAAAGCTGGAGACACTTAACACTGAAAAATGATATATTTCGTTGTCAATGTTTCTAATATATAAAAGAGTGGTCTCTGACTTCCACACTAAACTGTAACAGAGCGCCTGTTTCTACTATGAAAACGAAGCAAAATAAGCATTATGCACTGAATAAAACCCATCTTGGCAAAAGACAGAAAGTAAGAAAGAAAACAATAGTGAAGTAACGCAAAACTGACCTCTGGTACATTAAAAAACTGCATCACAAAGTGCCTTGAACTGTTCATTTCCCAATTCAACAAGGCGTCATAGGTGATTTAGTAATTTTCTTTAAATAGTCATTCAACTTAGTTCTTATTTTTAAGTGTCACAAGACAGTGAGTGACTTTAGTACTTGAATTAAACTGCTGTGATTAGCAAGGTTCACTGCCCTTTAATATTAGCCTGGCATAATCACATCATATCACTTTATTATCAGAGAAAACATGACGGACGCACGCACACCCCACACATTCCTACACCAACCAGTTTTACTAATGACTTGAATCAGCGTAAAGCATCAGCCTTCTTGTTAGGGACCAGAATTTACTCCAGTTTGGCCCAAAACTTGCTTAATAATAGTTTTGTAGGGTTGACCGTCATAACCTTTAACCAAAACAGGGTCATGGAGGATGACCTTTAAGAAGGCCTTTCAACCAGTTCCTTAAAAATCTATTAAAAAACGATTAGGCACAATTTTCAAAATGATACTTGCTCTGCCCGTTGCACTTTATGTACTGTGACGCTTGCCGGAAATTTATGCTTGCCAGTAAGTACAGTGGACTAGCACGATCATAAGCACATAAAGGTCGTACAAAAGCAAGTTGTTCACGGTGAACAAATGAAGATGTACATGGAAAAATGCTATTTTCGATACCTAGTGATGGGAAAGTTCCTTGTAAAAGTGTACTTGACTAGCTTGACTATGTCTTCAATGCTAGAGCAAAGTTATCATTGCTTGTTTTCATTATAACATCTCAATCTGTCAATCACAAATGGCCAGCAACAGTTCTGATGTTTTCTGCCAAAACAATTTAACTTTCACCACAGCCTTCTTGAGCTCAAGTAACCTTTTTGTCACGCTGTCACACTAATTCAGTGAAGTTTAACACTTACGTATGTCTGTTAGCAGAGGTGGGTGAAAACTACTCACAGGTATTGTACTTAGGCAAAACTTGATGGACTTTTTGAAGTACTTTTCTCAGTATTTTCAAATGACTTTTACTTCTACTATAAGGGGAAGTTAATCAGTTACATTTTAATCATTAACATTAGTTACTGATTCCTTTTTTGGGGACTTTAATTTCAGTCTCTTACCCTGGGGACAGCATTTACACTGCTTTAGTACAGATACACGCTTGAGCATTTCATTTTAGACCAAAAAGGTTCATTTTCAAAATGGTTCTTTAAAGGTTCTTTAGTAAAGTCAACGGTGAACACTGAAGGAACCACTTGAATATATAAATGGTTCTCTATCATGGAAAACATGTATGTTTTTTGTACAGCAACAAAAAACGGTTATGATGACAGCAGAACCTCTAAAAGCTGTTTGCTAATGATGAATGTTTAAGAAGTTCCAATTCAGTTCTACAAGTTACTCAGTACTGACCTGCCACTTTTTCATGAAGGGGAATTCCACCATTTTTTTCAAAATGCATGCATAATTCAATCGCTGAGATGTGGTGGTTTAATGTTAAATGGTTAATTGTATAGAAACTTATGGAGTCTTTTTACTTCACAGTGGTGGTGATAGGAACCAGGGGTCACCATGTCTACAACACTTATATAGCCATTTTATTTACTATCCAAAACCAACAGTGAACCTACTTGTGCCTTCTGAGTTTTGTATGGAATGTTAATGATGGCAAAAGAGTGATAAACATGAAAAAATGTGTTCTTTGGGGACTATTTTGCCTCAGACCACCCTTTTTGTATCCTACTGACATCAATGGATTAATATAAACTGCTTGAGACCAAAAGCTTTATCACAAAACTACTGCAAAACAATGTATCAGGCATCAGGCAGCGTACTCATAACCATTTCCCACATACTAACTTTCTGTGAGGGAGCTTTTAGAGGTGGACGTCTGGTTCCTATCACCACCACTGTGCACAATTCTGTCTCCGCAAGTTTCTCTAGAATTGAGCATTTCACACAAACCACCCTGAAAGACTTTATTTACATCTTAACTATTTGATTATGCAGAACTTTTGAAAAATCAGTGGAGTTCTCCTTTAAGTTGTGTTTTTGGTACTTGAATTTGAGTCACTATTTCATTGAGGCTAACTTAATTTACACTTCTGGCTATTAGCATCATGACGACCAGCACAACATTACTTTGTTGAGGAGATAATCTTCCAACAGCTGGAGTGAATTTCATTTCAGCCATGTAAACAGTCCATGTAGTGTAAAAATGTCCAGGTTAGCCTATTTGTCCCACTATAGATGATTTACTTGCAATCTCAGTCAGTGTTCGTAAACTGCTGAGTCATTCAGAAATGATTATCTATGATCTATGACAGGCAGACATTCATTTGGCTGCTGTTACTTTAGCGTGATGCAATAATTTAGAGGAAAAAAGAACTTTAGACGACTTTTCTGACTATATGCTGCTTTCGGTGTATGTGGAAAGTACTTTTACTGTAAACATGGACATTTATAGATGATAAAAGTTATTTTTTGCAGCGATAATGAGCACATGGGTAAGGAAAAAGGGGATAGTTTGACGAAGCTGAAGCTGTTATTCGAATTTTTCCGTTCCACCTTAAATGGTGCAGCAGTTACATTTTGGCGCCTCAGGTGCCAGAACGCAACTGCTGCACCATTTAAGGTGGAAGAGAAAAATTCGAATAAGAAGCCAGTTTACCTGGACCTGACTCGAAGTTCAGTGACAGGCAGAGCTGTTCTGGCTCAAACAGAAGCTGCTGGCTCTTGTTTACTATGGAAAAAACACACTTTCCCCCACCTACACCGCCAAACTTCACCACACAACTCACCTGAACTCGTCTCTTGACCGTGGACACTTCTCGCTTGGCCGGCGGCTTGTGCTGACAGAAAACTCTCTCCCGCGGTATTAGCCTTATAACACGACTCCTCCTGTGTGTCCGTGTTGACGGAAATCTCTCAGCAAAGCGTCTTGAGAGGGAAACTGGCGAAAACGTCTCTGACAGTGACTGACTGGTCTTCTCGCTGCTCACTCGTATTAGCTCTCACTGTGTGGGCCACTCACTGATGCTCAGCGCTTTCAAAGCTTTCCCCTCCCATTTGGACAGAAGGAAAGGCCTGTCAGCTCCAGCACACTCAGCTAGGCCAGGATTGGTGAGCTTTACTGGTCCAATCACGGCTGCAACATGCGAATTTTCACCTTTAAAGGGGTATTCCACCGACTTTTCAAAATTCCTGCATAGTTTAACCTAGTCATTCAGAGCGGCCTGTTGGGAAGTTGTTCTTTAAAGGGAAATGTACTGATTTTTTACAGTGGTGATGATGGGAAGCAGTATTTGTGATGCCTATAACATAAATACAGCCATTTTATTTACTATACAAAATCAGATTTTTTAGATATTGCATATATGTAATGCTATAGCTTTGAAAAAATATTTTCAGGCCAATTTCATATAAAACAAGGTTAATTCATTTAATTTGTGCATCATCAACACCAAACTTGCCCAAAGTAAGATCAAATTGAATATATGAAAGAAAATTCAGTGCATTACTTTTCATTAATATATCTGTAACAAGCAACAGACCATTAAAGGGCCCATATTCTGCATTTCGCTTTGCATTTTAGTTTTCCCCTTTCTCACTTCTGAGATCATTTTATGATGTATGTGTGGGTTTGTTTACCAAAAACAGTCACATGACCACTTCCTGACCTCTCTTTAAACAGGTTGTTTTTGTTACTATGCCTTTAAGACCGATAGATGTAAATGAGCTCTGTTCTGATAAGCTGCTCTGTGTTACGGCTCAGGCAAAAAAGCAGTTTGAGCTTTAAAACTATATATAAATATATATCCTTACAACTAACTGTGGAGTTACACAGCGGTAGGTTGTCTAGGTGAATAATAATGAATGTGTTGTTTTTGTTATGACATCACAAAATGGGCAGCTACATTTCCATATATGGACTGTATGGACGAGAGTGAACGGTTTGTTTTGTAAGTTTAGCGATATTACAATTTTTACATTTTTTTAGAAATAAAAGTGCAAAATTCTATGATATTCTGTGATATGAGCCCTTTAAGTAGGCTTGATTGTGAAGTATAATATATTAGGCTGCTTAATAACTTACAAAAAGATTAATGTAATGAACAATAACTAAGGCTATTCTACATATCCAGTCAAGAAACTGAATCGCCACTGAAAGTCCCTGCAGAGAGTGGTGAAAGTGTAATATGAAACATATATGTTGGTATGTATTATACGATACGTACCCTGTATATCTGTGGAATATGCAAGTCTCTGTGGGTCCTGTGCATCAGCGACCACAACCGGTTCCTGACCACAGTATCTCTTGCAAAAGTATACTTATATTTATAAACATATGTGCATAAACATATTTATAAGCACATGTTGGCCATTATGAGTATATGTATAAAGCTGTACACACTGATGCAGTGCATTTATGAATAAAGTGAGGCGTCAGCTATAAGGAAATTGGTCATTTTCAAACAAATAAACATGTTTTCTCTCTTTTATTTGTGCAAAGACTCAGCCCTTAGCCACAAGCCTGTCTGCTATGACTACTACACCACTGACTAAGTGTCTGTCACGGACTGAGGAGGTGGAACTATAAGTGCCCACACACCCAATGCCTGTAAATGCACATAGAGTGAATACATATATGTAGTGTACAATATAATGCTATAATATAAAATAATATTATATAATATCTAAATGTAGTAAGATAAGAAAGATAAGAAAAAAATCCTTGCTCAGACAAATTATGATCTTCTGATCAGAAACAGGCTGTTTATAACAGAGACAGATTGAGACAGAAATTAATGGGGAATTTCACAGATTTTTCAAAGTTTGTGGATAATTCAATCATTGACATGTAAACAGTCATTCAGAGTGGTTTGGTGTGAAATGCTACGTTCTACAGAAACTCACCCAGTCAGAACTGTTCACAGCGGTGATGATAGGAACCAGACGTCTGAAACCTCTCAAGATTCCCTCACAGAAAGTTATTACACAAAATGATAATGAAACTGATAGTTATGATAGTTTTGAAAAAGTTTTAGTCTAAAAGGTACTATTTAAAACACACGCAAGAAAACAGATTTGTTCAGATTTTTCAGAATTTTTACCATTTAACCTTCATCAACATTACATCAACATTACAACATAAAAGCATGCTGGTGCTTTTGCTTTGTAACTAAAATGGCTATATTTGTGCCTTTGTGCCTGGTTCCTATCACCACCACTGTAAAGAAATCTGAGTCAGTAAGTTTCTCTACAATGAACCATTTCACATCAAACCACTCTGAATGACTGTTTATCGCAATAATTGAACTGTGCAGAAATTTTGAAAAATCGGTGGAATTCCCCTTTAACTTTTGACTATGATTAGTTTCTAATGTAGGCGTACTGCAGCTCACTGTAGTGCATTGTGTGCTCCTGTAAGGTAGGTGGTCCCTCATGCACAACTGATGTTTGGTGTTTCCGTACCAGCAAGTAGCTGTGAATGATGATAGAGACTCTAAGAAAAGTTGTTTATATAATGCATCTTTGAATATTTAAAAAAAAATGAGATGTTTATGAGAAACACTCATCGGTAATTGATAATCTACTCATGTTCATTATACAGTTTGGCGCTCACCATAAATTGATATAAATTCATGAGAAGAATTATAAAATTAAATTAAATTAAGTTTGAACATCCCCAGTCCATTTCAATTTCCAACACACTAATATGTCAGATATTTTACTGCACAAGTTCTATTTATTTGCTTTGTTTAATATTTTGGAAAATAATAATAAAAACCTTTGTACAGGTTACATTTAAAAAAAAATCCAATTTGTTAAACTCAGCATGTAAATATTAATAGTGTATTAAAATGTGCAGAAGTGTGTTCTCTGTAGAGGATGGGTGAATTTTTTTTATTGAACTTTTTAATTTAATTTTTTAATATATATATTTTTTCCAATGTGTTAAACTCAGTAAATAAATAGATGTTGTTCACTAAAATGTTTTTGTGTTTATTTTCATGTAGAGAATGTGTTAACTTGTTTTCACTATTCACAAATCAACAAAACATGTCATTTGACCAGGAGTGCACAAACTTTTGCTAATGACTGTATGTTACTGAGAAAAGGAAATTTAAAAAAAAACTAAAATATGCAAATCGAACAAAGAAGCTGCTGGCATTCTCAGAACAATGAACTGACCACCCTAGAGTGTGTTTAGAATTGCTCGGATCGTGCAACCAACTTCTAGGACAGAACTTTGGAGGTGTGTCTGCAGATTTCTTTGAAAATCTAAAAGTGAGTCTCCTGAAAAGAATGGAAGTTGGAATAAAAGCTGGGGCTTTTTTTGTTTTCTGCTTTTTTTATAGTGCTGAAAAATGAATAACTTTTTTAATTGTAAACTAAACAAGTGAAGGGAGCCCTCTGACTTTTGCACAGTACTGTGTCAGAAGTGACTACAGGAGAACATGCATCAGTATAGCACACATCTTCGTTTTTGTCTTTTTGTGCGTGCTTATTTTTTTCCTCTTACCCGTGAGAGGTTTTTAGCTTCTGAGAAGTAGATTTATGCCACTTTGTGGTATCTTTGAGGTGAAGACCAGCACAAGGGGGAAAAAAGAATAGCAATAGCACACTTAAATGACATTTCTCACACTTAAAAGCAGGCGCATTGCCGACTGTATTTTCAGACACTGCTTTCTCAGAGTCACACTTACAGCTTTAGTCTCTTGAGAAGTCTTTATTTGCCAAAATATGCAGTCATGGCCAAGTCGTTTAACTTTTTTTTCCCCACAAATATTCACCTTTATAACTAACCTGCATCTGTTATTCAGAATAGCGGATGTTTGTGGTGCTTTTATTACTATTTATATTAGTATATGCAGACAATCATAATGCAAACACATGTATTAATAGAATTACTTGCACAGAGTTTGACACATAATAAAGAGAATCTTAAATACTGCCTTCTTAGTGAGCTGAAAGAAGTACAGTTGTTTTGCATGCTTTTTAAATATCTGTTATATCTACATAAATCACACAGTGCCCCCTGCTGGTAATGCACATTAATACTGCAGATTGTCCTGCTTCACATCCTGTATCACTTGAGAATGTTAATTAACTGCCTGTGAGAAACATTTCACACCCAGATCATTAGCTGAATAAATAAAAATACTTTTTTTAAGAACAAATCTTTTAGTGTGCTAATAATCTCAATTTAAGTCCTAACTCCTAATAATCGCCACTTAATCTACTGTAGATAAACAGAAACCTAATAAGCAACAAAACATGCTTTCACATAAGAAAGTTTTACATATATAGTACTGTGCAAAAGTCTCAGGCAGTCAAGAACATGTTTGAAACTATTTATCCTGGCAGAAAGTGTTATTTTACTATCAAAACAAGATACATGCAAAAAAATACAGTAAAATGTAACAAGATGAAAAGTTATGTAAAAAATATTGAAGTAAAAAATATGAAGTAATTAAAAGTTATGTTAGAAGAATGCAGTAAGATTTTGTACACTGCACTATAGTCATTGCATGGATGTTGTTAAAGGGGAATTCCACTTATTTTTCAAACTTTATGCATAATGAAGCAAAGATGTAAACAGAGTAATTCAGAGTGGTTTGGTGTGAAATGCTCTGTGCTAAAGAAACATAATAATGCCAGAATTGTTCAGAGTGGTGATAGGAACCCGACACTGTTTTAAGCTAGCTTTGAGAAGGTTTTGGCCTAATACATATGTTTTTAAAATAAAACGTATTCGTTTTTAAAGCCATTCTTGGTAAGATACAGAGCATTGTGAGGATAAAGAGTTTACTACTATTTTACTGATGTAAACATTTTATATTATAACTCAAAAGACACATGTAGGTTCACTGGTGATAATAAAATGGCTATATTTGTGTTTTACACACACATACACATATATGTATATATATATATATATACACACACACATATGCATATATATATATATATATATATATATATATATATATGTATATTTATATATCCACACACACATATGTTTGTGTGGTTTTCTATTTTCTGTCCTCTCTTTATACCTTAGAATTAGACAAGCTGTTTTGTTACTGCTCCTTTAAGATTGGCACATGTAAATA